TGAGCGCACACGCCCTATAGCGAAAACCTCTCAAAAAAAAAAAAAAAAGAAAAGAAAACTGTGCTGAGCACCAATTTTTTTTTTGCATCAAAATGAATTTATGCTTTAATCCCCATTTTCCTTATGTAGACTTTGCTGCTTTCTCTCTAAATGCCAAGAGCAGCCCCTTCCATCCCTCAACCCCCAAGTGGACTGCCACACTGTTGGGGACTACTGGGCCTCTCCAAGCCTGGATGCTACTGTCCCCTCCTCATGACCCAGCCTCCATGACATTTGTTCTTCATGAGTCCAGACAGGCCATTTTCTTTCATGAGTAGCGTGGGGAGAAGGAATATGAGTCAGAAAGAAAAGTTTTCACTGTTATTAAGCACTTTGAAACAGTGAAGTGATTTGTGCTTTTTTAAATAGAAAAACGCAGCCCAAGTACTGTGAGTAGCAAAGAAACTTTCTGAAAGTTCAGGTTCTGGAGCACCAGGCCCACTTGCGTTGGGAGCTGTAAATGGAGCTCCCCTGGAGGGAGTGGGAAGCTGTTCTGTGTCCGTGGAACCAAGTTCTGTGAGATGTGAACTGGCTTCAGCACCAGCTAAGGCTGAGGGAGAACCGAGGAAGTCTAGCGAGAGGACCTGTGAGTCAGGGTGTGCCTGGCTCTGCCCAGCGACCCGTGTGTAGTAGTCTGTCACTTTCTTTAGCCAGTCTGTGGTTTAATGTGGGGCTCTTTCTCTTCTTTCCCAGAGTGACTTTCCAACCAGAATGTCCCTCGTGGTCTGACGTTTTCAAGCTCGCTCTCGGAATGACTAGAAGTCAGATGCAGACTCCAGGGGCAAGACACACATCCAAGAGCCAGCAGGCCCAGGACCTTCTCCGGCCACCACCTGGGAAGACTTGTTGGTCTCTGTGTTGGCAAGGGATGGGAGGCAGCCTTTAAGACACATTCCAGACTTTGGTGCCCATCTAACAAGTGTGAGAAGCTTGTCAAGAAGGCAACGACATGTGAGAACATTTCCCACCTTCAGAATTTCCCACTCACAGAGTTTACCCTGCTCACCTTCCTTAGTGGAGCCAGGACTCCATTTCCGATTGTGAAAGAGAATTAGCTCTGGTGTGCCAATCTTCAGATGTCGTGACTGCTTCTCTGTAGGTCCTGTGCTACGTTTAGAGACAGAAGAATTTACTATTAGAAGAAAGCCTTCTGCTGACCAGGGATGACAGCTTCAAGATAAAATTACACCTTCTGTCCCCATCATTTCCCAGTCACTGTCAACGACGGTTACACTGAATTCAGAAGGCCTTTGGTGAGCTCGGTGACAGTGACCTCCGGAACAATCGCAGAAATATCTTCAATTTGCTGTTCTGAATCACAATCCTCGAGTGGCTATGACAAAACAAAAGGAAGTGGACCTTTTTGAAGAGTGAAGTGTTCTTTTTCCATTCCGAGGACCTAACTGCTTTTTCTCTCTCCGCTGTGCACTCAGTATCTAAGTCTGGGACACCAAGGGCTTTTCTGTCCCTCCCCCTCCGGGACATTGCACTGGTTGGCACCGCACTCTGACCCACCTCCCCCCGCATGTGACTAGGTTTCATCAGGTGCCTTTTGGTAAATGCTGAAAACACACACACGGAAGAGAAGTGGGAGAATAAGGAAAAGCAGTGATGCCGGGTAGCGAAGAGTGAGAAAGAATTTAAGAGGAAAATGATACATAGTCTCTTTATTTTTTAATGTGGGCTGTTTCCCCCACAAACTCCTCTCAGTCTTTCCTGGTTTTGTACTTTGTTTACCATGAATTGTTTCTGCCATGCCAGGACTCTAGGGATGTGGCCTGGCTAAGCTGCCGTTAAGATGCTTTCGGAAAATGAGGTATATTGTTTTCTCAGGAAGGAGTGCTTCCAATCCCACCCTTGCCTAAATGATAGAATTTGCCGAAATCCCAAAGGTCGATCTCTCTGGATTTTATAATTTGTGTAGATTGCAAAAAAATGACCACACACTCTTCCCCTCTCTTTAAGAGGTGTGGTCTTTTCTCCTACCCCTTGAATCTGCCATCGGCCATGTGATTTGATTTGGTCCCATGGCCCACTAGCAAATGTGACACTATCAGCGACTTGAAAAGTTTCTGTGAGCCAAGTGGTGTGTCCTCTCTTGCTGCTCTTGGGAACATTGCAGCCACTAGGTGAAGGCCCCTGGAGTATTCTGCTGCATGACAAGAGAAAAGGGCTCGGTAACCTGACCCCCCGTCTGACAGTCTGTCCACGCTCAGCTGATGGCAGACACACAGTGAGCCCAACCAAGACCAACAGAGAAACTGCCAAGCTGAGCCCAGCCCAGATATCTGACTCCTACTCAAGGCATGAGAAGTTGGTGCAATCTACATGTTCATTTCTCGTCAAGGACAAAACAGACTCTTTCATCTTCTCAGAATGTTCAGCACTGAATCCCCTTCTCCACCCTTTCTTAGGTGTCTCAGCTCCACTTTGACAGATGTTATCAAACTTTTCCACCCTACACTGTTTTGGTGGGACGCGTGGTTGGGTCAGATCACTAGAAGATCTGCTACTCCCTCCTCCA